GAGGAGGAGGAGGAGGAGGAAAAGGAGGAGGAAAAGGAGGAAAAGGAGGAGGATGATGCGAAGGAGGATACTTTTGTGGCGAAGGGGGCGGCGGGCGTCACGAGCGGCGAACACGTCCATATCCACGCCCTCGCGGCGTGGGTTCCGCGACGCGATCCCCTGGGTGCTCGGCCGCGTGGGTACGCTCCATGCGAGGCATCCGCAGCAAAAAACGCCCGGTGCCCATGGGGTCGCGGCCCAGGGGCCCCGCCCGCGAGGCCGTGGATGCTGGAGGAACCAAGAAAGAACCCGCGAGTCACCGCTACTGTTAGGTCCGGCGTGTCCTCCTACAGGCGGATTTTGGAGGACAAGTAAAAATAGTCGCACACAGCTCAAATACATCAAACAATACTCAGAAAATGTGATCCTTTCCTCCTGTAGAGGGACATGCCCGACTTAACGCTACTCCCCGGGACCTCTCCAGGGCTGCTATCTGACCAGAAAATTCCGAGAATCCAGCCGTGGCGACGAGGGCTCTGCAGGACGAGCGGCGATATCAAATTCCCTTCCTCCTCTGAGATAACAGAGGCCTCCTAGATGGGGTCGGAGGATCGCACCGCATCGCCGATGCATTGCCGACGCATCCGCGATGCATCGGCGAGACAACAGCGACGCTGGCGATGCATCGGCGACGTCGGCGTGGCGAAGATCGGGCTCCGCCTCGAGCCGCATCGCCGATGGATCGGCGATACGGCGCGACGCTCCGACCCCATCTACTCTGACCCCATCTGTTGAGCAGGGACCGACCGCCAGGGCATTCCTATAGGCCTACCACGGCATTTTCTTAGAACCCAAGAATGTTCCAATAAGAAGATCAATGTTCTTAGAACATAACCCGATGTGCTAAAATCCTCCTCCTCCTCCTAAGGCAATTTCGTGCAGACCATAAAAGGTTCTTGCAACATTCTTCGGTGGGCCTATGGGCGCGCCAGGACGCTTCGCCACTGCTTGAGGGGTGCGAGCGGCCGCGCGCGCCGCCGCCGCGAGGGCCTCAGCGCCGAGATCCCACGGCGAGCGGCGGTGAGCGAGGCTCGAGAATCCAGGGCCGAAGGCACGAGGTCTTCCACGCCGCTGCGCCGTGCGAGTCGGCCCTCGGGGGCGCCGAGGTCGTCCCTGATGGGCCTGCTCGAACCTGGGAACGCCTGGAGAGAGTGGATACGCCGCGAGGGTGGGTCGCGTCCAGCCTGCGGGGAGACCACAGGGGCGGCGGGCCCGCGGCCGGTGTGCGCCGGGAGGGGCGGCGCGCGGAAAGTGGGACCTCGTCCTCGCCCTCGTCCTCCTCCTTCCTCCTCCTCCTCCTCCTCCTTCCCCTCGCTCCTCATACTCCCTCCTCCCCTCTCCTCTCTCATCCTCCTTTTCTCATCCTCTCCCCACTCTCCTCTCCTTCCTCCCCTCTCCTCCGCCTCCTAATCCCCCTCCTCCTTCCCCTCCTTCCTCCTCCCTCCTCCTCATCCTCCTCCTCCTCATCCTCCCTTCCTCCTCCTTCCTTCTCCGCCTCCTCCCTCCTTCCTCTCCCCCTCTCCTCCTCACTCCTCCTCCTCCTCCTCCTCCTCCTCCTCCCCTCTCCCCGCCGCCTCATCATCCTCTCTCCGCCTCCTCCTCGCCCTCCTCCTCCCGCCTCCTCCCGCCTCCTCCTCCTTCCTCCTTCATTCTCCTCCTCCTCCTACTTCTCCTCTTCTCCTCTTCTCCTCCTCATCCTCCTCCTCCTCCTGCCTCCTCCCCTCCTCGCTCCTCCTCATCCCCCTCCTCCTCGTCGAAAGGGGGGCCAATTCAGGGGGGGAGACGTCCGCCTGGAGTGGGCGACGCGTCCCCGGCAGGCTGGGCGGCCGGCGGTGAGCGCGAAGGAAACCCGAGCGGTGCAGGGCCGTCGGGCCCCCGTCGGCGATCGATGCACCCCGCGAGCCTCGCGACCCATCGTGGAGGGGCCCAGGGGCACACCAAGAAGCACACACACACATACCCAATAGTCCCCATACTCCTCCTCCTCCTCTCCTCCTCCTCCCTCCTCCCCCTCCTCCTCCTCATCTCCTCCTCCTCCTCCTCCTCCTCCTCCTCCTCCCCCCCCCCCACACTCCTCCTCTCCCCCTTCCCCCCCCGCTCCTCCTCGCCTCCCCCGCCCTCGGCCGCCAGCGGGCGGACCTCTCCGCCCCCCCCCCTCTCCCGCCAGAGACGGTGGCACACATACATACCCAATAGTCCCCATACTTTCTCGCGTGTTCTGGATGTTCCTCTGCCCCCCTCCCGCTGCGCACATTTCCCCAAATTTTCCGGGGGGTCGACGGTTACTCGTGTCTGTGTGTTTGTCCCCTCCTGATACCCATCGGTCGGAAAAGGCAGGAAGAAACATGAAGTAGCCGGCGGTGGACAAACCTCCCTTTAGCAAACCACCCTTTCGTGAGAACGGCCTACGTAGGACCGAAACCGACGGACCTGGACCCGCAAAAATAATGGTTGCGACGCCCTATGGCGAACCGAGAACGGCTTATTCGCTAATCGACGTGTCAGGGTAGGAGGTCTATCAACCTTCGAAGTAGGAGGGCGTTCAAAGTAGATTGGATTCCGTCCGCCCACTTGGGAGGACGGCAAAAAAGTGAAGCCATTCGATCATGGAAGTAGGAAGGCGCTGGAAGGCGCTTCAAATAGATAAGAGTCGGGGAGTCCAAAAATGCGAAGCTTAACCGGCCGATGGGTACTTGAGAGCCAGGTGGAGGTCGGGTGCACTTTCGAACCCTACTCCAGGGTGTGTGCACGGCTCAGATGTCGAGAAACTGGCAACCACAACGGAGTGTCCCTCCGGATCCAAGCTGGGAGGTAACTGTCAGCTCGCCTCTTCAGGCCCAGCTGACGAGGGATCCCATGTGCATGTCTGTTTGTCTGTCCGTCACGAGCCCGCCCCGCCCCACACGTTGCCCTCCAGGTGGGTCCAGCCCGAAAGGTTGAAGGGGCCCTGGGACACACAAATGAACACACACAAATAAATCGAACCCCCATATTTTCCCATATGTTCTGGGTTCCGTCTTCCCCCCCACTTCCCAGATGTTCGCATACTTTCCTGGGAGTCGACGAGTAATTGCGTCTGTGTGTTTTTTCCCCTCCTGAAAGGCGACCGCACGGCGGTGGGCGGGCGGCCGGGGTGCGCGCCGGCTTGTCCGGCCCTGGCGGCAGCATCTGCACGCGGAGCCTCCCGCGGGCAGCGCCGCCGCCGCCGCCCGCTGCCGAGTTCGCCCGTCGTCGTCTTCGGCTACTGTGTACGCTCGCGCAAAAATCGAACAAACATCGAACAACAACTGTGTACGTCGTCGACGCATCGAACAAACATCAGGACGCAGGTATGCCGTCGTCTTCGGCCACTGTGCGGGCTGGTGCCGGGCCCCAAGACTATCAAAAAACGATCAAACCGAAAAACCGGTCCTGGGGAAGTGTTCCAAAGTGCAAAGCTAGCCCTGGGTCGGCAGCAGCAGCCCTTGACCCAACGAGGGTCGTCGCGCAGCGCCCTCGTCGTTCAGCCCCTGCTGCTGCTCCGAGCCGCCGCCGCTGCAACTGCATAGCACTGCCAAACGTCCATTAAACATGATGCCCTCTCGATGCAAGCGGTGATCCCACAGCGTGGCGAGGCCTAGGCCAACCTCCGTGACGTGTTCTGTTGGTGGCCTGCTTTGACCACTCTCTTCCGCGCCGTCGACCGTGCCATGCGCCGTCCTCCCCCCCTGGTCGGTGCCGAGGGAAGCCGACTGAAGCACTGCCTCGAGAGTGGTGCGACGCCTCTTGAGAGCTCTCACGGTCTCATTGGCATCCGCACGCGTGGAACAGGTCTCTGCGGAAGGTTCGTGACGTGCCGACTTCGGCCCTGGTTCCTGACACCGCGGGGATCGTTCAAACTTGAACGACTGGCCGGTTCCGACACATCAGATCGTTCGACGTCGACGATTCTGGGTCGCCCCGCGGCGTTCAACCTGAAACGCTGGCGGCGGGGTCGCCGCCGGTCGACGCGTCGCGAACCTGCCGTATGCTCCTGCTTGTAACACCGAGTGATGCCTCACGAAACCCTGTGACCTTGTCTGTGACGACGCGGATGCGCCCCGACCACACCTGTTCCCGGGATCCGACAGCTCGCTGCGCCCAATCGTCAGTCCAGATGGGCGACGAGCAAGAACAAGGCCGTGCGCGAGGTGGCACAGCGACCTGACGCGGTGGCATATACGCGGACGCGGCAGCGCGGCACGCCGCGGTGGAGGCGGGGAGCGCCCACGCGCGGCCTCACGCGGGCAGCCTGCGCGCCAGTGTCGCGGCCGCCAAGCCCGCGGCGGCCGCGACTCGGGCGCCCCACGCTGCCGACCGCAGCAGCGCCGCGCGACCGCGCCGCTGACGCAGCGAGCGCATGCTGGCACGCGCCGCGGCGCCGCGGCGGCCGCGGCGAGAGCTCTCCGCGGGGCGCCCCGGCTACGCAGAGGCGCGCCGCTCGCAGGGCGGGTCGCGGTCCCGCCCCCGCCGCTGGCTGCGGCTGCGGCCGCGGCAGGCGCCCCGGTGGTCCTCCCGCCCGCGGCAGTGGTCGTCGCGAGCGCGCTCATCCCGCCTCCCGCGGGGCTCGTCCCGCCGCGCGAGCCCTCGGCCCTCGCGCGGGCCGCCCTCGTCCGCGCGGCCGCCGTACTTGCAGGGGCCGATGGGCTGCCCCGAGCGCAGCTCGGCCAGCTTCATGCTCACCAGGGCGGAGGGCTTATTGGAGGCGCTCAAATGCCCCGACAGCTCGGCCAGGTCCTTGGGGATGTCGCAGCCCAGGCGGAGGCGCTCCGCGAACACGTTCGCCAGCCGGGCCGCGGCCGCATCGTCGAGGCGGTGCTCGCGCGCGAGCGCGGCGATGCGCGACTGGAGGTCCGTGGAGCCGCCCGTCAGCCCCGTCGAGGGAGACGTCATCACCTGGGTGTGCACGGGCTGGCCGAGTATACAGCGGCCGTTCATCTCGCGGGCGGCCTCGTCCGCGTCCCGCTTGTCCTCGTACTCCACGTAGGCGACGCTGTGCGCCTCTGGCACATCGATGCGGAGGATCTGCCCGAAGTCGTTGAAGGCGCTCGTCAGCGTGGTCTTCTTCTTCCACGCGGGGGGCAGTGGGCCGCCAGACGAGAGTCTGACAACAGAAGAAGCAAAAACTGCACGAACATGAATGTTTGGCGCTCCGCGCGGATTTCTTGGATCTGCACTGGAACCCCCGCCGGAGGCGCCACTGGGGGGCTCCAGCGCGGTCCAAGAAATCCGCGCGGAGCGCGTAAAGTTTATGTTGATGGCGTTTTTCCTTCTTCGAGACGACCACGGTGGTCCCGTTCTTGTACCGCAGCGATCCTCCAGCGCCACCCTCTCGGAGGGCCTCTCGAGGAGGAGGAGGAGGAGGAGGAGGGGAAGGAGGAAGAGGAGGAGGAGGAGGAGGAGGAGGGGGAGGAGGAGACCCGGGACGAGGACGAGCAGGAGTTGGAGGAGGGAGGAGGGACGAGAAGGAGGAGGAGACCGAGGACAAGGACGAGGAGGAGTTGGAGGAGGAGGAGGACGACGACGACGAGGAGGAGGAGGAGGCCGAGGAGGAGGAGGAGGAGAAGCCGAGGACGAGGAGGCGGAGCAGCAGGAGGGGCCTGGCCCGAGGGGCCATTCATCGCCTCAGCGCGGTGCCGCGCCGCCGCCGCGGCCGCCGCCGCGCCGCCCCCGCTGCCGCGGGAGGGGCATGCCGCAGCTCGGGGGCCGGCGGGGCGGGCGCCTCGAGCCCTTGGAGCTTGGAGCCAAAACGGCCACGGGGAAGCCCGCACGATGCAACTTGGGCCCAGGAGCCCCGGCCCTGCAGCGTGCTTCGGGGACGGGGCAGGAGCGGCGCGGGGAAGAATCCAGGAGAGGGAGTGGGAGGGGGAAAGAATAGGAGAGGGGAGGAGGAGGGGGAGGAGGAGGAGTAGGAGGAGGAGGAGGAGGAAGAGGAGGAGGAGGAGGAGGAGGAGGAAGGGGAGGCGGAGGAGGAGGATGTGGAAGGAGGAGGAGAGAGGAGGAGAAGAGGAGGAGGGAGGAGGGGGAGGAGGGGGAGGAGGAGGAGGAGGAGGAGGAGGAGGAGAAGGAGGAGGAATACAAGAGAGGAAGAAGGGAGGAGGGAGGGGGATGGGGAAGGAGGGCGGGGATAGAGAATGATGAGGAAACGAAAGGGGGAGAGGGATGTGTAAGAAAACGATGGGGAAAAGAGGGGGCGGAGGCGGATAATGGATGCGGGACAAAGGAGGCTTGGCCTCGGCGCTTCTGCCAGGCTCGCCCTCTGGGAAGACGGGACGGGCAAAGAAAGGAAGAGTGAGGGGGAAAGGGGGACAAGAAGAGTTCCTGGATCTCTGGGAAGGTTCCGGGGAGTTGTGTTCCAGGGGAGGGGTCAGGAAGGGGCAGCGGAGAACACGAGGATGGGAGCGGGGGGGTAAAGATCGTCACGAGGTGGGCGAACAGGATTCACCATCTTGTTTTACGGTGGCACCTCAAGACACAAGCGGAAAGGGGAGGACAGAGATATAACAAGGAAACAAAGACGGGTACATTGAGAGAACGTGAGAGGAGGGCGAGAGAGCGCGTCGGTTTTAGCCGACTGCACAATCGTTGTCATCAGGCCTTGCACTACTCCGCGGAACCCAATACATACCAAAGGAAAACACCCCAAAGCAAATTCCGAGCTTGGCGGGTGGGAAGGCTGGGCCTTTTGGGGGGGTATATCTGTGTTCGGCGGGCGGTCGCGGAACGGTGCAAGTTGGGCGTGGCTTAGTGGGGGGGTCATAAATTGGGGGGTCAGAAACGGTCCCCTTTCGTGCCCCTTTCGGGGCCCTCTGGAGCCCCAGGGGGCTCGTTTAGGTACCGTTTGGGTACCTTTTCGGACCACCCGCGACACCCCCCCATTTATGACCCCTCCATTACGCAACGCCCCAGCAGGATGGACGTGCGACGCGTCGGAAAGCTCAAAGCTCCGAATGTCCCCCACATCGCGCGCCTGACGTGACCGCCACGGGGGCCGCAGAGGGCCCCGGAGGCTTCGGGCCGCCAGGCCGACCGCCGCCGCCGCAGTCCGAGGGTCCTCGCGGCGATCGCCGTAGTTGAAGGGGCCCCAGGACACACAAATAAATACACACAAATAAATAGATGTCCCATATTTTCATATATTTTCTGGGTTTCTGTCTTCCCCCCCACTTCCCATAGTTTCCCATATTTTCTGGGGAATCGAGGATTAATTGTGTCTGTGTGTTTCTTTCCCTCCTGAGTAGTGGTGGTGGTCGCCGCCTGTGGGCGTGCTTGGACGATTGCACGTTTTGGGGCGTGTTGTCCTCTCCTGGGGCCTCCAGGCGTCTGCGGACACTGGAGATCCGTCGAGGCCGTGGGCCGTCGTCGATCGATCGTCGTCGTCGTGGCAGTCGCCAAAACTCTGGAGGCCGCCGGGGCTACTTCGTCGTCACTGTCGTCGTCGTGGTCGTCGTGGTTGTGGTCACGGTCGTCGTCGTCGTCGTCGTCGCCGCCGCCGCCAGCATCGTCGCAGTCGTCGAGGATCGGGGAAGGTTCATGAGGAAGGAACGCCCCCAGACATCCGACGTCTCGATGTTTTCGAGACGCGGGCCCCCGACCTCCCGACCACTTCGCCGGGACCGGTTCTTCATCCCGAGTCGTGAAGTGACGGTCCCGAGGCTCGGCGACGAGGGCCCCGAGAGGCCGAAACCTGCGAACAACCCCCGTCTCCCGAGTTTTGCCGAGACGCCCGATGCCTGGGCCAGGTCGAAGGCCGACTGTTGTGAATCATGGTGGGCGCTGCTGGGCCTCGCGGGGGCGCGCTCGTCGCCGCGGCAGCCCGAGGCTGAAGTCGGGCGTGTCCCCCCCCACAGGCGGATTTTGGACGGAAAAAGTACTCCAAAAATGCACCAAAAAAAATTAAAAAAAACAGAATAGTCCCCCAGACTATTTTGTCTATTTTTGAATCTTCCCCCTGCAGAGGGACAGGCCCGACTTCATGCTGGGCATCACGGGGTCGCGCTCGTCGTCGCCGCGGCAGCCCAGAAAGCCGGAGAAACCCGACATCCGGCGCTCGGCTACGCCTTTGCAGGGCTCTGGCCCCCCCCCGCCGCCGCCGCTATACACGGGCGTCCCGTCCAGCTTCGTCGTCGTCGTCGACTCTGCACGCGCTTGTACGGGCTTGGACTTACGTGGCTCCCTTCGTACTTCAGGACCACATTCCAGAAACAGTTTCGAACACCCAGGAAAATATCGAAACGGTGTCGAACGAGCAGCGCCTCCCAGGGCCCGATGCGTGAAGACCCTCCCGTTTGGGTACTTTCTTGGCGCTCGTTTTTTTTTTCTGGTGATCAAACTGAAAGTAGGTTGGAACAGCGTAAGGCTTTGGACGTGGTGGCTGGCCCAAGTCCGAGCGAATCTCTCGGATCGGCGCTGGGGCCCCATGGCGGCGCCTCCGGCGCCGCCCCTCGCGCGCTCCGTGCGCCCTCCTGCTCCTCCTCCTCGAGCGGCCCTCCGAGAGGGTGGCACGGGGAGGAGCGCTGCGGTGCAAGAACGGGACCGCCGTGGTCGTCTCGAAGAAGGAAAAACGCCATCAACATAAACTTTTGGCGCTCCGCGCGGATTTCTGGGAAGAAATCCGCGCGGACCTCGGAGTTTTTAATGTCTATGTCACGCTTCGCTCTCCTAAGTGCACCCTGACACCTCTGGGGGCCGTCGGGGGGTCCCGCCCCTCCCCGCCCTCCTCCGCCTCCTTCAACTGCTGCTGCTCATCCTCGGGCCTTCTCTGGGACGAGGCCAGGCAAAATCGAACAGATATGCATCGGGGATCCATTACGAGACCTGGCGGAGCTGGAGGGTAGATCGGGCGCCGCGGCCGTCCAAGAGCGCCCCGGAACGCTCCGAGAGCGTTCTGGAACGCTGCGGGACGATTGATTTCCATCGTTGGCCGTGACGACGTCGACGAAGGCGCCGCCGGCGACGTCGACGGCGACGACGATGATGCCGCCGGCGCCGCCGACGTCCCTAGCGATCCGACGTCGTGATGTTTGTTGATGCCGGGTCCGGGAAGGCTCGACCCCTTCCCCAGGACTGGTTTTCCATCCCGAGTCGCTTTGGGACGGTCCCGTGGCCCGGCGAGGGTCCCTAGAGGCCGAAAGCGGTGGAACACCACCGTCCCGATGTTTTTACGACGCGACCATGGTGAGCGTCTTTTTTATGCTGCGTTTCGACACTGGGCGGAAAGGGGGGAGGGGGTCTGGCTCCTGACCTCTGCGTAGTGCGACTGTTTGCGACAGCGCGTCCTATGGGACAGGGACTCCACCTGCTCGAAACAGGCGCCAAAAAATAGCCAAGATCCACTCCACGGGGGGGTGGGGGGGAGGGGGGGGTGGGAGGGCCCGCGCCGATCGGCAAAACAAGGAATGAAAGAAGGACCACATGTCTGGGTTCTACGACGATGTTTGAAAAACGTCCGCCGTGATTTTGCTCAATGAGTTGGCGCGGGCGCAGCCGCCGTGGCGCCGCGGACGCGAAGAGCGCAGGCTGGAGGCGGCGGCGGGCCGCGGCAGACGCCACGGAGAGGCGTGGAGGTTTCCCCTGGGGCGCGGCCGCGGAGCACCTGCTGCAGGCCTCGGCCACAGCTGCCGCAGTGGAGGACCTCTCGGAGGTCTGCTTCTGGACGCCCGCAGTGGGCACGTCTGCTGCTGGACGCCCGAAGTATAACCAGCCTCGAACGTATCCCTATCCCTAAGATTAACAAGCCCAAAGTCGACGACAATCTCAGGGATGCGCCCTCAGAAACGGAGGGCATCCCTAAGATCGGCATCGAGATGAGGCGATGTCAGTCACAGGGATAGGGATGTGTTCCAGGCTGGTGAGAAGTGGGCACGTCGGCGGTGGACAGACCTCCCTTAAAGCAAATCACCCTTCAGTGAACACGGCCCAGGACCGAAGCCCACGGACCTGGGCCCGCAGAAATGGCGGCCGCGACGCCCTCTCACGGACCGACAACGGCCAATTCGCTAATCGGCATGTCAAGGCAGGAGGCTTATCAACCTCCGAGTACGGGAAACATGTGCACCATGCCCACAAGGGAACAACAACAGGACCTCTCGGAGGGCTGCCTTGAACGCCCGAAGTGGGTACGGGACGATGTTTAAGTCGGGCGTGTCCCCCTATACAGGGGGATTTTCGACAAAACACAAAAACTACCCAAACATGCCCCAAAATTGCCAAAAAGACTGAAAAAAATAGTCCCCAGACTATTTTTGACTATTTTTGAAGATTCCCCCTGTAGAGGGACAGGCCCGACTTAAGACGATGTTTGAAACACGTCCGCCTTGAGATTTGCCGGTGCGTGTGACCTCTGAGCCTGCCGCAACGGCCTACGTGCCTCCGCGCCCCTTCCTCCGAGCCCCCCCCGCTGACGACGCCGCCGACGCCTGCGGCAACAGGAGGAGGAGGGAGAGGAGGAGGAGGAGGGGCAGGAGGGGGAGGAGGGGGAGGAGGGGCAGGAGGGGGGGAGGAGGAGGAGGAGGAGGAGGGAGGAGAGGAGGAATAGGAGGAGGATGGAGGAGGAGAGGAGGAGGAGGAGGAGGAGGAGGAGGAGGAGGGGAGGAGGAGGCTGAGGAGGGAGGAGGAGGAGGAGGGAGGAGGAGGAGGAGGAGGAGGTGGAGCGCCACTGCCTCCGAGCCCCCCGCCGACGACACCGCCGACGTCTGCGGCGGCAGGAGGAGGAGGAGGAGGAGGAGGAGGAGGAGAAGGAGAAGGACCAGAAGGAGGAGGAGGAGGAGGAGGAGGAGGAGGAGGAGGAGGAGGAGGAGTAGTAGCGCCCCTGCCTCCGAACTCCCCGCCGGCGGCCTCATCACGGGCACGATCGAGTCGGACAGGGTCACGTCCAGCGCACCTCGCGCTCTCGCTCGCTCGGTCTGTCCGCAGGCACGCTTTTTGTTCGGGAGGACGGTGGCTTAGGAGGGGGCGGGCTGGGGGGACACCCTGCTCCTCCCCTCTAGACTCTAGAAGGGCCCCGGGACACACAAATGAAGAGACACAAATTCCAGGATGCCGCATATTTTCAAATCGATTTGGGGTCTTCGTCTTCCCCCCCACTTCCCATATTGTCCAATACTTCTCCTGGGAGTCGACGAAGAATTCTGTCTGTGTTTTTCCCCTCCTGACCCTCCTCTCCTCCCGCCCCGCCTGGACGAGGGCATGCTCCCCCCTGGAGACGTAAAGCGCGGTTACGGAGGACTCGGGTTGGCCAGACGGGGCCACCGGGAAAATGACGAGATCCAACCTGAAATTTGACGCGCGCTCCCGCTGCAGACATCCCGCGAAAACTGGACCGTCAACATCCAGGACGCGCTCGTCGAATAACGCAGGCGAACCCGAGTTCCGGCGTACTCGAGACTTGCGTCTCCCCGATACTCTCATGCGGCCGCGAGCCCGGCCAGCCGGAGGCTCCCCGCCCAGCGGAGACGGAGTGCCCAGCGCGCACCCTGGCGGCCCGCCGGCAGAGACGGCCGGGTGGCCGCCCGGGAGAGGCACGTCGCCACCCCCAAGAGGCCCCGGAAGAGCCCCAAACGAAACCGCGGAGGAGGCACGCCCGGGCTGTCCGGGCTGGAGCTAAATCGAGCGTGTCCCCCTCCTCCTCCTCCTCCTCCTCCTCGGCCTCCTCCTCCTCCTCGGCCTCCTCCTAATATAAACTATTCCAAGAATGCTGAAACAAATTGACCACAAGGGTCGAAAAATCCTTCCCAGACTATTTTTGACTGTTTTTGAACACTCCTCCTGTAGAGGGACGTGCCTGACATATGGCTGGAGCCTGCGAAGCGAACGCAGTCTTACATAAAATACATACGGTCACATGGCAACCTACGGCTGCACCGCCGCACCCGTGACGCGGCCCCACGCCAGGCGGGCCTGGGTGGACGTCGGGGAGCATCCGAAGGCGAGGAGGTCGATGGCGGCGGCCGCGAACTGTGTGATTAATGAATTCCAGCGCGGCCCGCCACCGCAGAACCAGCCTCGGCGCTGCCCAAGCGTCAGGGAGGGCGGCCCCAGCGCGCATGGCCAAGTGCGCCAGCGATCTGACTGCTGAAGCGCCCAGCCAACCATACGACGCCATACCCACCCGCAAGACCTCGGAACCGTACCGCTGGCGCTCGTCGGTATATGCCGCGTCTGCTGCGTCGCCTGGCACGGTCGCGGCGCGAAGGTAACTACCGAGAGGCATGCGGGCACCCGACGGCGACGTCCACGCACAAAAGTTGCACTGAACCTGGGAAGAGACACCACCAGGGTCAGAATCGCCTCCTGGACCTGGCCGGCAGGGGTCACCCCGCTCGAGCTCGGTGACCGTGCGCTCGATCTCGACCTCCGCCCGGCATTCGCGCAGCAGGCGGGCCAGGACCCCCGCTGGGGCGCGATGCGGTCGCATCCTGGCTGGGCCCTGCTTGCAAAGCTGCGCATGCTGCAGGCTCCGGTCGAGCCGCAGGCCACACATTTGAGCAGGGACCGACCGTCCCGGCATTCCTATAGATGATATGCTCTCATTAGAAGCCCCAAATGTTCCAAATACAACAACCATGTTCTTAGAACATGAAGCCGATATGTCAAAACAAGACAGTCCCAGCCATACATGTTCTAAGATGTGGAAACCACAACAGGTTCTTAGCACATTGTTGGGTAGGCCTAGTTATAGGCACGCCAGGCCGCCTCGCCACGCGGTGCCGCCGCCGGCGCTGGGCGAAGCAGCGGGGCCCCCGCGAGTCGCAGCTCGGCTGCGGCCGTGCAGGAGGCCGTCCTCGGCAAGCAGCTGGACGGATCCCGTCCCAGAGATCCAACGCACTGAAACAACCAAGACGGAACTTGTGCGTAATCTTCATCCTCTGGGGGCTGGGCCCCGGGACTGTCAAAAAGCGGCTCAGGATGAAAGACGGGTCCTGGGGATTGGGTCGAGACTGCGGGGGACCCAGTGTTGAAAAAATCACGACGTCGGATCTATAGGGTCGTGGCTGTGCGGAGCGTTCGGAGGGCTGGGGCTGCGGCGTGGCGCTCGGGTGCACTGCAGAGGCGGCATTGTGGGCAGCTTGGAGGTCCACGCGCACCAGGGTCCCTACACCCTGCGAGATGCTTAAGAAATCATGGGTTAAGAAATTCATAGTCTCAGAACTTGAGTAAAAACCCAAAGTTTCCACTCAAATCTTAGGATTTACATTGAAACATTAAGAATAATCAAGACTCTGGCCAAAAAAATAGGTTTTCTTAAGCATCGCCTAAGGTGTATCCCAGACGTGCGACGTCCTAATTTGTTCAGCAAGGCGTCCCCGGGAGTCCCGACCCTTCCCCTGGGACCGGCTCCGCATCCTGAGCTGTCCTTTGGCGGCCCTGGGGCCCTGCGAGGGCCCCCAGTGGCCGGACACAGCGCAAGACCTCCGTCCCGATGCTTGTGAAGGGGCCCCAGGACACACACAAATAAATACACACAAATAAAAATACTCCCCATCTTTGCATATATATTTTCTGGGTTTCTGTCTTCCCCCCCACTTCCCATAGTTTCCCATATCTTCCTGGGGATCGACGATTCAGTGTCTGTGTGCTTTTTCCTCTCCGGAGTTTTGCCCACGACGCGACCCTGTCTGGGATGCCGCCTGCCGCGCCGGGCCTGCGGCTGGGGGCTCGCGCGGGCGCAGCCCCGCCGCGGCGCCGCGGGCGCGCCGAGCGCGGGCCGTCGAGGCGGCGGCGGGGCCACGGCAGACGCCCAGGGAGCGCGGCCGCGGAGCACCCTGCTGCTGCGGGCCTCTGGGCCACGGCTGCCGCGGTGGCCCTCTCGGAGGTCTGCTGCCGGACGCCCGAAGTATGACCGGCCTCGGACGCATCCCTATCCTCAAGACTCGCAGGCCAAGAATGAAAGAAGGACCACGTGTCTGGGTTCTACGACGATGGTTGCAAAACGTCCGCCGTGAGTTGGCGCGGGCCCAGCCGCCGTGGCGCCGCGGACGCGAAGAGCGCAGGCTGGAGGCGGCGGCGGGCCGCGGCAGACGCCACGGAGAGGCGTGGAGGTTTCCCCTGGGGCGCGGCCGCGGAGCACCTGCTGCAGGCCTCGGCCACAGCTGCCGCAGTGGAGGACCTCTCGGAGGTCTGCTTCTGGACGCCCGCAGTGGGCACGTCTGCTGCTGGACGTCCGAAGTATAACCAGCCTCGAACGTATCCCTATCCCTAAGATTAACAAGCCCAAAGTCGACGACAATCTCAGGGATGCGCCCTCAGAAGCGGAGGGCATCCCTAAGATCGGCATCGAGATGAGGTGATGTCAGTCACAGGGATAGGGATGTGTTCCAGGCTGGTGAGACGTGGGCAAGTCGGCGGTGGACAGACCACCCTCCAGTGAACCACCCTTCAGTGAACACGGCCCAGGACCGAAGCCCACGGACCTGGGCCCGCAGAAATGGCGGCCGCGACGCCCTCCCACGGACCGACAACGGCCAATTCGCTCATCGACGTGTCAAGGCAGGAGGCTTCTCACCCTCCGAGTACGGGAAACATGTGCACCATGCCCACAGGGGAACAACAATAGTGTTAAGTCGGGCGTGTCCCTCTACAGAGCGATTTTCGGCGAAAAATAAAAACATACTCAAAACATACTCCCAACGAGTCAAAGAATGTGCCAAAAATAGTCCCCAGGCTATGTTTTGACTATTCTTTGACTGTTCCTCCCGTAGAGGGACGAGCCCGACTCAAAAATAGTGGCACCAAATATCACAGTTCGCAGGCCCCGCGCGGATTTGTTTGCTCGGATATCGGCGCTGGGCGGCCCCCCTTTCCCGATTCGCGCAACCTCCGAGCTGGCTTTATGCTCATGACATCCTTCGTTCCCCTGTGTGGGCGCCCGAGAGGGGTGCGGGCAAAAATGCGCACAATTCGAAAGCTGGGCGGAGGCTGCTAAAACCGTGGCTGCTAAAACGGCCCTCCCGCAAGGAAAAAACAACTTCCCAGAATGAGGCGCGGCACGCGAAACAGTCAACGGGCTTCTTCCCGGAAGGACGAAGACAACTTCCCGGAGGTCGATTTTAGCAGCCACGGATCTAGCAGCCCTTGCCCGGCTTCCGAACAATGCCGAACAACACATGTTTGGGCGGTGCGCACAGAGGGGTGGAAGGAGGGGGGAGGGCTTCTTAGAAACCGGCTGCTTCTGAGAAAGCGCCGGCCTTACATTTGTGTAGGTGAGGCCCGCCCCTTCCAAGAAGCAGGGGTTAAGAAGCCCTCCCCCCTCCCCCCACCCCCCTCTGCGCGCGGCTGATATTTGAAGGCCAGAAATGGGTGCGGAACAAAAAAGCGCAAAATGCCCAACAACACCTGTGGTCCAAAACCGACAGCGGCCGCCGTCGGGCATGCGGATTCTCTTGTCTTCAGTGCTCAACGTCCGCGGCGGCGCGGACAGCGAGTCCAGTGCAACATGAACAGGAACTCCTGTTGGGCATCGTTCCTTGAGTAGGGCTGGGGGGTCAGGTCTGCAAAACACCCCAAAGAGACGTCAAGGGGCGCAACCAACCTGTCTGGACAAGCTGAAACTGATGAACCACACTGCGCTTCAAGCCAACACTTTGGACACAAGCGAATAGTTGGACGTTGCACATCTTCGTCGGCTAAATCGGCAAGGCGTTGAACCACCCTGACGTCCTATGTTTGGTAGTCCTGCAGAGGAAGGCGCTCTCTGACCCTCGGCCCTCCTCAAATCTCGGGTCGGGCGAAAGGGGGGAATAGCAAAGGGTGGGTTTGAGAATCAGCTCACGTAGCTGATTTTCCCAGCGCCTCCCGGCGCCGGGAGGCGCCCATGTATCGAGGAATGGGCCTGGCGGCAGAGCGGAAGCCAGCTGCATGCAGCAGATTTCGTACCCCCCCCTTGCCCTATCCCCCCCCATTCCGTGCGGCCCGAAACTCGCACCCCACCTCTCCGTACCCGTTTCGACCCTCCCGACCTGCGGCTCCTCCTCTGGAGGCCTCGCTGCCGGCGTGCCCGCTCTGGGAGGGCATGCAGCGGCGAAGGCGGCGCGGCGCTGCGCCCACGCCAAGCGTCCATGAAGGGGCCCTGGGACACACACACACACACACACAAAGAAATAGACACGAATGACGGGATTCCCTACATCTTCCCATCTTTTCTTGGTTTCTGCCCTCCCCCCCACTTCCCATATTTTCCCATATTTTCTGGGGAATCGACGATTACCCAGACATCCGGCTGCTCCAATGTTTTCGACGCGGCGGCCCCGGAAGTCCGGACCACTTCCCCGGGACCCCTTTTTCGTCCCGAGTCGCTTTTTGACGCTCCCGAGGCCTGGCGAGGGCCCCCCGAGGCCGAAACCTAGCAAAATCCGCCCGCTCCGATGTTTGTTGGAGCGTCGGATCTCTGTGTAATGCCTCTGTGTTTTTCTCCCTCCTGAGCTTCTGGGCGCCCAAAATGGGTACGGAAAGAATGGGTACAATGCCCAACAACAACTGTTGTCCCAAACCAACAGCGGCCGCTGTTGGGCAGACGGCCTCCTGTCTCGAATGGACACAGGCCGCGGCGGCGCGGACAGCGAGTCCTGTTCAAAATGAACAAGAACTCCTGGTGGGCATTGTACCCATTCTTTCTGTACCCATCTCGCGCGTGCAAACCAAAGGCCTCGACCCCTGCCCCGGGACCGGCTGTTGATCCCGGCTCGTTCCTTGCCGGGCCCGAGGCCCGGCGATGGGGCCGCCGAGGGGCCGACGACGGCGAAACAAAAAAATACTCCGTCCCGATGGTTGTCGCGACACCCGGTGTCTGGGACTGCACCTCCCTGCCAGACGGATGACGGGCCGGCTTTCCACCACCACCGCCATAAGTTGCAGGGGGAGAAGGAGGTGGAGGACGAGGAGGAGGACGAGGAGGAGGACGATGAGGAGGAGGAAGGGTGGAGGAGGAGGAGGAGGAGGAGGAGGAGGAGGAGGAGGAGAAGGACCCCCTCCCCCTCCAACTCATGGTGTGGTGGTGGTGGAAAACGAGCCCATCAAGGGAGGCTGGCGGCGGCGGGGCGCGCCCACGCTCACGCCGAGCTGCAGCCGGAACTGCTTGGACCGCACCTGCTGCTCTCGGCGAGGGGGGCCGCCCGCCCCTGAGGAGCCACCTGCCCCTCGACCTCCTCGAGACCCCCCCCCCTTCGCTCCACGCTCCACGCTCCACGTCATCCCCTTCCTCCTTCCTCCCTGCTCGACGTACCCCCAGCCTCAACCTCATCCCGTCCGCGTCGCTGCTCTGACACCCCGCCGTTCCGCCTCCCTCCGCCTCCCTCCTCCCCTGCCTGATGCGCACCCGCGCACCTTCCCTCCGCATCCCTCCCCTTCCCGCCTCCTCCTTTCCCTCGCAATTTCTCATCGCCGCCTCCTCCCCCTCCTCCCCCCCCCCCCCCCCCAGGCGCCGCCTGCTCCGACGGGGGCCGCGCACGACGGCTCTGCTCCCGTTCCCCCTCGGCGGCGAGCACCGCGTGGGTGCGGCGCGAGAGGCGCGGCCATCTGCGTCGAATAAGATTTCTCAGAAGCCCTCTTCCTCCTCTTCCTCCTCCTCCTCCTCCTCCTCCTCCTCCAATCCTCCTCCTCCTCCTCCTCCCTCCTCCTCCTCCTCCTCCTCCTCCTCCTCCTCCTCCTCCTCACTCCACCTCCACCTCCACCTCCACCTCCACCCCCACCCCCGCCTCCATCCTCCTCCTCCTCCTCCTCCTCCTCCTCCTCCTCCTCTTCCTCCTCCTCCTCAGGCGGGGGGCGTCTTCTTGGACGCCCGCCCGGCGTCTGAAAAGGTTTCTCAGAATCCTTAGGTCCTAGATCCTCGCCAGCACGAGGCGGGGGCACGTGCAGACGGCTGCATGCCTGGAGAAGGACACTACGGAGAGGGTACCGCAGCGCGTGGACCCTCCGAGCGGAGCGTTCCGCGAGGATCGCTGCCACCACGCTGCAGCTGCTCAACGAAAGCCAGGCATGGCAGACACCACAAAACGGCCAGACCCAGGCCCTTCCAAGACGGCCCCTCCCAGACTGAAACGGCTGAGTAAGAAGGCCTGCTCAGAAGGCCTTCCAAGAGGGCCTTCCAAGAAGGCCTGCCTAACTCAGAAGGCTGAGAAGCCTCGCAACCTTTTTAGTCCGCCGCCCCTCTCTTGCCATCCCCATGTGCGCGCCGTGCATGAAGGGGCCCTGGGACACACACACACACACACACACACACACACACACACTAGAACCACGCGCGCGCTTCGCGCGCGCTTAGGTTCTACCTAGGAGGCGAGCTTGAGTCAACGAAAGTCGCAGGGAAGGGGGCAGGGGGAAGAAGGCCTGAGAGCGCTGAAGGATACAAATACTGGAACCCTCTTGTGATTTTGTGGGGGGCCTCGTCCGGCCGCTCGCTGGGAGTTTGACGTAGCTTCTCGGGAGCCTCTGAACCTGTCGGGGGCCTCCTGGAAGCAGGTTCGAAGCATTTTGGAGGCCGATTTGGGGCTTCTCGGGGCCTCCTTTGGGCCTCTTGGGGGTCTCCTGGGGCCTCTTAAGGGGCCTCCTTGGGGCCTCCTGGCGGCCTCTTGGGGCGGAAGGCTCGAGCTTGCGTTTCGTGGTCCCCCTCTGGGCCCCCTCTTGGGCCCGTCTTGGGGCCCTCTTGGGCCATCTTGGGCGCCTCTTGGGCCGTCTTGGGGCCCTCTTGGGCTGTCCTGGGGCCCTCTTGGAAGCTTCTTGGGTCGTCTTGGGGCGGTCTTGGAGGCCTCTTGGGCCGTCTTGGACGCGGTGAAAGCCCAAGATGCGAACATGCGAAAAATATACGTTTTCCCATAGGAATGGCACGATTTTTGTTTCTTGGACCTCTCTTGGGGTGCCTCTCGGAACGTCTTGGGCTGATTTTGGAAGCCTTTTGGCGCCTCTGGGTGGCGTTTTGGCGCCTCCTGGGATATGTTGGGCCGGAAGCTCGGAATTCGAGAGTGGCTTTCTCCTTCTGGGACCCCTCTCGAAGTCGTCTTGGGGTTCTCTTGGGCCGTCTTGGGGCCGTCCTGAGCCACTCGTGCGCAGCCTTGGAGCGCTCCCGGAGGCCTCCTAGGCCGTCTTGGAGGCCTCTTGGGCCGTCTTGGACGCGGTGAAAGCCCAAGATGCGAACATGCGAAAAATATACGTTTTCCCATAGGAATGGCACGATTTTTGTTTCTTGGACCTCTCTTGGGGTGCCTCTCGGAACGTCTTGGGGTGCTTTTGGGAGACTTTTGGCGCCTCTTGGCGGCATTTTGGCGCCTCCTGGAGCCTCTTGGGCCGGAAGCTCGGAATTCGAGGTTGGCTTTCTCCGTCTGGGACTCCTCTCGAACTCGTCTTGGGGCTCTCTTCGGCCGTCTTGGGGCCGTCCTGGGACACTCGTGCGCAGCCTTGGAGCGCTCCCGGAGGCCTCGTAGACCGTCTTGGGCGCCTCTTGGGCCGTCTTGGACGCGGTGAAAACCCAAGAGGCGAACATGCGAAAAATATACGTTTTCCCATAGGAATGGCACGATTTTTGCTTCTTGGGCCTCTCTTGGGCTGCCTCTCGGAGCGTCTTGGAGGCTTCTGGGACCTTCTTGGTGTCATGACAGGCGTCTTGGAAGGCATCTGGAGCCATCGGAGCGCGTTTCGAAGCCGCCTGCGAACGATCTTGGACGGCGTCCGGCGGTCCGACGAGCCTCCGGGCCCCCCGGATCCCACATTTGTGGTCGGGGTCCCGGCCCCGGGCCCCCGGACCCGGTGCGCCGATATATGCATATAAATACACACACATAAAAGGACTCCCCCTATTTTCCCATATGTTTGGGTGTTCGTCTCCCCACTTCCCACATGCTCCCATCTTTTCTGCGGAATCGACGATTCATTGTGTCTGTGTTTTTGTGTCCCTCCTGAGTCCAGCTGGCGCGACGGAGCCCGAGGGTCTCTCGAACCAAGCAGGCGGGGGGGGG